ACCCTGCGCCCAACAATACTGCCAACTACTGCTGAAAATCAACTCGCACTTTGGCAAGTCTATCCACCATTTTGACTGAATGTTGCCACAATCGAATTTTCGTGTCAAATACCTTCGGTAGTGCATGAGGTTCGGGAAAAAAATCAACTCGGTGAAAAAGTGTTGACTAACTGCAGCGAAAAAGACGCGGAGCACTAAAACTCTCAAGGAAAAATTGCAACATGAACCCAAAGCGAGCAAAATACACAACACTGTCTGCATCTGTAAAAGAAGAGGTCGTTCCAGTGCTGATACACGATCCCAATGCTCCAGGTGGCCCCCAGTATGCCTATGCTACATTTGCTTCATCCGAAGAGGGCGAATCTACGGTTGAGTCACTGCCTGGAACACATGAGACAATTGTGAGCTCAGAAGAGGTGATTATTGACGAGCATGGACGCGTGCAGTCAAGAAACGATTGCTTATTTTTGGGCAAATAGGGCTGCCAAATGTTATTTTTAAAGTGCCCAAATCGGAATTGTTTTTGTTCTTAAATCTGTCACTATGACTTAACGGACTTTTTTGGTGGAAGAAATATTTTAAATTTGAATTATGAAACTGCCACAAAATAATGGAGGGGAAATTAAGAGTGCAAAGTGACGGAACAAGTGCAGAATACGTACGTCATCTACGTTATTTGCCTAAAGGCTCATACTCATATAGAAGTTAGAAAAAGGTTTTAATGATTAAAATGGTATTTTATATTAATCAACTAGTGGTAATCAACATAATGTTGGGATACCAAATGTACTCAGAAGCCGATTCTCAAAAGGATCGACAGTACTCGATTTTCAAAAGTATCGATACTGAGTACTCCAAAGTAGCATTCAATCGACGTTATTTGGAATTAATATTTTAATTTGAATATACTCTTGCCACCTAGTGAAATTCTACACTAAGGGCTGGTTGCTCAAAGCCTGGTTGACACTAATCCCCGGTTAAACATCGTTATCGACGCTATCGACACCGTGTTATATGCATGGAGTCGAAAACGTCGATAACGATGTTAACCGATGATTAGTGTTAATCAGGCTTTGAGCAACCGGCCATAAGCATTGAACTGTTACCAACTTATGTATATTTAAAGAAAGTACACGATTCTCAAAAGTACTCGATACTCCCAACACTAGTAATCACTTAGCCTGTTCCCGTACTTCACGATTTGCAGGTTTTACAGGTTTTACAGGAACAGCTGTTTTCGCCTTTAATAAACATTGTGTGAACGTGGTGTACGGGAACGACTTTGGACTAAATCCTGCAAAACCTGCAAATCGTAGACGTTGTGGAACGCACTAACTATTTTAACCTTTTAATGTTGTTGTTGTTGTTGTTTTTGTTGTTGTTGTTGTTATTGCTGCTGCTGCTGCTGTTGTTGTAGCGGCTACAACAACCCCGCCCAGATCGGCTAGTCTTTCAGCCGTTATCGTCAGGCCCAACCAATGGGAGACCCAAGAAGCGTGCAGCCTCTATGGGGTCTGTCCATAGGGACAAAGGCGTCAGTTGAGTGGGGCATCCGAAGAGACGTTTCGATTCGTGGGGTGTCTCTCCGCATGCTGGACACTTATTTGGCACATCCGCATCTAGTCTGCTCAGATATGAGTTCAACCGGCTGCAGTAGCCAGATCGAGGTTAGGCGAGTGTGGTCCGAGTCTTCCGAGGCAGACGAAGCTCCGTCTCGTCCACGTCAGGTGGTTTTGTGCCCAGAACGGCATCCACAGGTCTGGAGTTTACGTAACATGAGACCGACTCCCTGTGAAAGCCGCTCAGGGCCTGTCGATATGCTTTCGTGTCCAGAGATTGCTTTATCCGTCAGTTCGTATGGATGCCTTCTGTCACGCCTTGGCATGGGCTCCTCTGCAAGCAATTGTCTGTTCGGGTGCCCACATATGTGGCTCCCTACTAAGAATTGCTTGCAGAGCATTGTGCTGTGCACCTTTATGGGGCGCATTTGCGCCTCGTCATGCAGGTGATGTTCTGGCGACATCAGAAGGCATCCACTGCGTCCTACTGGTCCCTACTGGTCCCCAGCGATTTTGACCGAGTCCAAAACAGCACGCCAGTCGCTTCTCTTCTGTACCAACTGACGCCAATTGGAAATGCCAAGTGAACCCACCTGGTAATTCCAACGCAGAGGAGGCCTTCCTCTTCCTCAGTTACCACCATCGCGACCCGCGTTGAATACTTTCAGAGCTGGAGCGTTTCTGTCCATTCGAACGACATGACCTAGCCAATGGCGCCGCTGAATTTTAACTCGCTGCTATATCGCTGTAAAGCTCATACAGCTCATCGTTAAATCGTTTGTGGTATTCGCCATCGCTAAAGCGCAAAGGCCCGTAAATCTTGGGCAGAATCTTTCTCTCGAAAACTCCAAGAGCTGCTTCAATAGATGTTTTCATTGTCCATGCCTCCGGCCCCTACACCCGCACAGGCATGATGAGTGACTTATAGAGTGCAATTTTTGTACGACGAGGGAAAACTTTACTTGTCAATTGCCTACTCAGTCCAAAGTAGCACTTGTTGGCAAGAGTGATTCCCCGTTGAATTTCAAGGCTGACATTATTATTTTTAATGCTCGTCCCCAAATAAACGAAGTCGTCTACTTTTTCAAACTCGTAACTGTCAACAATGACGTGATTTCCAATACGGGCATGATCTGACTGTTTGTGTGATGGAGATATTTCGTTTTGTGCTCGTTCACCACCAGACCCATTCGCTTTGATTCTCTATCTAAACCCGAGAAGGCAGAATAGACTAAGCCCTTGTTTTTACCGATAATGTCGGTGTCGTCGGCATACGCCAGCAATTGTACGCCCTTGTTAAGTATTGTGTCACAGGGGGGCTCATTTCTGCGACTCTTATTATCTTCTCCAACATCACAATAAATCTGAAACCTCGCTTGGTATCAAACGGCTCGGAGAAATCCTTCCCAATTTTGACGGAGCTCATGGTAATGCTCAAAATCATTTTACACAGCCGTATTAGTTTCGCGGGAATACCGAATTCAGACATCGCGGCATAAAGACAACTTCTTTTCGTGCTGTCGAAAGCGGTCCTATTTCCGCGGGTCTTTTCCAAGATTTGGCATATTGTGAATACCTGGTATATGGTGGATTCGCCAGGTGGTCTAAAGCCACACTGGACTTCAGTCTTTCACACAATACACTGGATAAGACCTTGTTGCAACCTTTGCTTAGATGGCTGCTTCCGCGGTAGTTGGAAAAAAGTGTTTCCTGGCAGTGGGATTCGAAGCCACGACTTCCCGACTTGCTAAATCCGCAATCCTGCAGCGGACACAGGGTGGACTAATTAAAGTACTCATATTTCATTATTTTCAATTATTTCTCACTCATCTTAAAAAAAACTAAGATGTCTATGATTGACACAACTTAAAAAACTATTCTAAACTTAAAACTATATTTTAACAAGAATGGGATTTAACTTACGACTATGACTATGGGCCATATTCCTTTAATGATTTCTGTTTTATGTTGTTGTTTGTAAACAAAATTTCGATCGATTATTTTTAATTACATATGTACAATTTAGTAATTTTTTGCTAATATTTTCATTTTTTTTTATAATTCTAGAATTTCTATAGAGCCCATGCATAGTACTGCTCCTTAGTTTCAAAATAAATTCCGCCCAGCCTTAAATTGTGGCGTGAATTGAACAATGGATGTGAAAACCATTATTTTTCAAAACGAAATCAGTTAAATTGAATATCAATTAATGAAAATTTGATTTACATAACTTCCCGGACATTTTACACAACCCATCAGAGTCACGCGTACATAGTTTCGTAACCAAAGCTGTTCCGGTCTATATATGCATGTATGTATGTATGTATGTACATATCTGTGGTATTTTATTAAAACAGATTATCTCGAGATAAGCCATGTTCCCTTGAAAGCAATATTTAATTGGATTCCCGAACAATATCCGAACGATTAACTAGCCATTGGTGTAGTTGCGCATGCCCTTTTACTATAAACTTAATACTAATAAAAAGATTTTCAAGCGAAACTTTTATTTTTTTAATTCAAAGTCAAACCTTTTAAATTCACTTCAATTGTTTTAATAAAATGCCACATACATATATATGTACATAAGTATGTAGGTGTATTTGTATGCTTGAATGTAATTTTCCTTTATTTTCCTTTGCCCATTTGATGAGAACCAAGTTTAATGGCAGCTCCAAGCTCTGAATTTCACAATAAACAATTGAATGCAAATTCTACACACTCACATATCGCTAGCTTAGAGTGAAAAGTTGCTAAGTCCACTTTTTATGAAAACTCATATTTTGATATAGGAGGCTAGAGAAATTGAATACGCATCGTATCGAAAATTATAAAGGTACTTGATTTATTTTTTACTCTTCATAAGCAATAAAAGGAAAATTTGCTAAGTCCAAAAGAAGCACCACAAATCCGATAAGGCCAAAATAATATGACATCCTTTAATAAATATAGAATCCTTCTGATTCTTATGGAGTTTTGCTTTGCTTTAAACGCGCAAAATGTTTGATTCAAAGTCTTGCGAAATAGTTAAAGAAAATGGCTATAGGAAGATTTTTTCCTCTCCTGTAAAATTTTTAAAATGGGACTTAGCAACTTTTCTTTCTAAGCTAGCGATATGAAAATTCATACAATGTCCGCGTACTGCATTTAAGCGCTTCTGCAGGTGTGTACGTGTGTGCATGCGTACAAATTGAGTGCACTTGTTTAATAACTACATACATACCTTATTTGGTAAACTAAAAAGCGATGAATACGATAATTGGCACTTATGAAACTGGAGCGAATGTCAACTGGTTCTAACTGGTTTGTGAAAAAAAGACACTGTGCAAATGCATCTTTATGCATATGTATACATGTACATACTTGTTGTTTATATGTATGTGTTTGCCTAATTATTTAATCAGTAATCGGTTGACTTTTGTAGGCGTCCGGCGGAAAGGTGCAGTGGCGCTGTAAATAATTAAAAGATATTGGGTTAGGTTTGTCGGCGGCGGGCATCGGTTTATTACGGTTGTGGACATGTGAAATTATTCAAAATTTACACGTGATTTATCACCACGATGGCATCATATTTCAATGTAACTTTTCTCACGAACATTCACACACATCAAAGCCAGCCGCCAATGCTCTTGCATGCATGACATGCAGCATCTTCGATTACCTTTTGAGCGACTCGAGCGCAGCTTACGACTAGAATTGCGAGATAATATAAAAAAAAGCAAATCAGCAATATAAAGAGAGAAAATATTTATACAGGGGGTGTATATCTATTATTATAAATTATCAAAGGCTAAAAACCACCAAACAGCTATCAATGAAGTCGGTAATACGACCAAAAGATAGAGTATCCCTTACTTGGTAGTTCAAATTTTTGCGTTTTCCAATTAAAGCATTTTCCTCCATTTTAGAAAGGGTGGACGGGTGGTCTAGGACACCCTATATACTATGAATGTACATATATGTATATAAATCAGCTAAGTAATCTCTCTAAATACTCTGAATAAATTTATTTATTTATATACATGTTTGTATATGTATATTTTATTAAATAGCGCGGCGTGGGTGTTTAAGCCCGTTTGCCTGTCATTTTAATGAATAATTTGAACTAAAATGTAGCGCATTTTTAAATTTATAAGGAAATGTCAGGTACCCTGTTCTTAAGTTAAAATTAAATTTACAAAAAAAAAAAAACTTAAATCTTTGTACATATGTATGTGTAAGGCCTATCAGCTTAACTTAAACTCCCCTGAAGGACGTGCTCGGCTTTCATTCTAATAAAAATAATAACGACATGTGAATAATAACTTTAGAAACTAAAATTCCACATGAGACTCTATTAAGTCGATCGGAAAAGGGATTTATTGAATGTCCACAGCTCATGCCGTCATCCATAATAAATATTGACCAATTCAAACTCGACACCAACGATGCAGAGCAATTAACCATCGTCCGCTTAATTGCTACTTATATACACGTTGAATAATTATCGCTCGAGTGCTAATAAATATGTAGTTAAATAACACAGGCTATACATTTTTTCACTAAATGCGATATCTCGGCAAAAACAAAAGATATTTGTTTTAAACTCAACGGCATTCGAAAAGGGAATACATATTTGTTTTTTAAGCTAATTTGACTAATTTTCTGTTAAAAAAAATATTCAGTGCGTTTTGCACTTTTGGATTAGCACATCTCAAAGTCTTCACGCGATGTAACAGCTCCTTTGGAAATGTATACTATTTCTTCTGCTTCCAAAAAAATATTTGATTTTGTTGGCCTGTGTAATTTGCGTACATTCATCGAATCATCAATCATTTAATGAATGTCATGTGCAAATTGCGTATTAGAACTGTCCCTGTTCGGCCAATTGAATGGTCATGCCGTTGGAAAGCACTTCAAAATTCAATAAATTTTTTATCACTCAGAATTTTTAAAGGAATTACGAGAAAAAGAAGATGAGTAAATGGTTAAAAGTGTACATAACTGAAAAGTTCAAAATACGATTTCTCGACGAGAATAAAATATGTTTTAACAAAGTCAACGGCCTTTTTGGAAGTGTGAGGATTATACTTTAAGTTGCCATTAATGGCTTTGGGAACAAATAGTTTTCTGTGATACTACATAACCTGAAATATAGGGCAAAATAGCTATTGTTGAACTTTTAGCTTAAGATATCTTTTAAACCAGAGTCAACACTGAAATTCTGAGTTCAGATTCGAATTCGAATTCAGCGCTTCGAAAACCTTCGGAAAAGTACGTGCATACAGGTTCTGAGATTTGGCAATTCTGCAAAGGCTTCGTTGGGGCATATGAGTAATTTCGATTCGGGGCAATCAACTTGGTTTCCACTCATGCCTAGTTTTCAGATTTTAGCCATAACTGAAGTTGTTTTTTTCGAAAATAAATATTAAATATCAGCTATTCTGGGCTAACGCTAGTTGCGTAAATAATTCATTTTCATCAATTGGAGTTCAGAAATAAAATATTCTGATGCTTTGGCTTGATGCATTTCTGAACACACCCTTAGTTAACATTTGCAGCAGAGTGTAGATGGGCTTGGTTTGGGAGGAAATAATTGAAATGAGTAATGATTTCAAATTAGTCATGAGTTCATAGCATCACATTTTGTTTTACATTTTATTTTCTAATAAATTTCCTTTTTTTATTTCAATATTTTAGTATGTAAATATGTACTTACATACATGTGTATGCACGTATGTGTGTGAGTGCTTGTATAAGTCATTAATTTCTATAATTGTGTAACTTGTTGTACTGGATGTTGTGACAAGTGTCACGTTCCTCGCAGATCGAAGGCATTCAATGTTCTAACAACATTTGGTGGAGAAGCAAAACAGGAATAGCCCACCCAGAAAGTTATTACTTAGGAAGCGATTCATTGCCGTAAAGGCACCCGTTGGATACAAAATTGCTTATGTAGCGATGTATGTATCTGTGTATGCAGCATTTTTTGCTTGCATTTGTGACCAACCATATATAGATACTATGTGCATATCTCACCAGGCAGTCCGTTATTACAGTAACTATTTTTAGTTGGGCGGTCTGAGCGAAACCAGCCCCTTTTATGACACTGGAACACACTTGGCAAAGCTTATAAATTTGCAAATGTTTTCACCCATTCATTTAGATTTTTTTATTATGAAAAGTGATTTATGTTCGTTTTATTTTTGTTTGTTTGTTCGTTTGTGCTGTCAAGAGGGCAAGGTAGGCGAGTGAGTTGCAAGCGATCGCAATGCAGTGCACAGAAAACAATCAAAACCCGAAATATGACTGACTGACTGTTGCGAAACTTTATGAGCTTTGTGCATTTGACAAGCATGTGCATGTTTGTATGTATGTATGTATGTATATTGGCGTGTGTAAATAAAAATTATACAAGACTGGGATATTTGGTAACCGAAATTTTTTTCGCTCGTTTCGCTTTGCCATGCAGGTGATTCAGCTCGAGGCTTGAGAAGATAAAGGTCAGCTAAAGTACATCCAGACTACCACGCCCTACTGGCGGCAGCAGCTTAAAGAGACTCCGGTTAGTGTGGAGATATGTATGTTGTTCTAAATGCGTAACAAAATACTGCAGAGTTGAATAATTATCTCTTTTCAAGATTTAGGGCCGGTTGTTCAATGTCTGGTTAACACAAATCGGGGGTAGAAGCTCTGGTTAAATACAACGACGCTTTATCCATCACACATGTTATATGCATGATGTCGAAATCGTCGATAATAATGTTTAACTGGGAGGTAGTGATAACCACACATTGAACAAGACCGACCCTTAGCTGTGAAAAAATTTGCATTTGAAAGCCTTTTGAGAGCGAGTCTAGTAGCGGTGATAAAGTAACTAGTTTTGCCCGAGTTCTGATCTCGATTTTCTAAAGGGTTGCTTATACATGCGAGTCTATACATATGTATCTATATACATATATATGTGTATGTGCTCATTAAATCGACAAAGAAAATTAGAAGGCAATTAAACTAAATAAAATAGCAGTTAATAAAAACTAAACGATAATTTAATATTTGTTTTCTAACTTTCCACATGTCCCATTCTGTCGCACAGGCAATAGTCTACAATTTGTGTCCAATTAATTGGGAAAGCGTATTCCAAAACGCAATGATTCAATTAAATATTTAGTTGAATATGTGTTAAAATATGTATATATTTCATTTTTTCTTTAACTGACCCACATTTTTCAACATGCTGCCGCCCTCTCCAGACACTTTCTACTCCACTTTAGCATAAATGCATTACAAATTTTATATAATTTTGTATGCATGTCATGGTTGGAAAAATATCGAGCACTAACCGCCAAAATAACGTAAGCGAAATTTTTTTCAAAATTTTATTTTTGATGCAGAAATATTCCTAGAGCATCTAGATGCATTTCTGCATCAAAAATAAAATTTCGAAAAAAATGTCGCTTACGTTATTTTGGCGGTTAGGGCTCGATATGTAGTATTTAAATATTCATAAATACTTACACTAACCAGAATATGTTTCCGTACAGTGTTGTTTTTTAAAATATTTGCAATGTAATGAATTTTTTTCGTTAATTTTTGATAGAAATATAGTTCATTCTGCATAAAATGGCATATAAATTAATAATTCAAAGTTTTTATAAAATTTAGGATAATTCGACAAGTTTTCACAAAAAATTTCAACCTTTAAACAAAATTTGTTAGAATTTTTTTGAGCACGTATGTACAAGTTTTAAGTGCCTATAAACTACCGTTGCTTTTTGAGCATTTCTCTTGCTGATGATGTTGCTCATTTTCTTCATATAACGGTTGCGTGATATATTTTTTTGTATGGGCAAAAATACCGAAGAGCGCCAGTAAAAACATTCTCAAAAATCAACGGTAGATTATAGTCACTTAAAACTTGCATTTTATTATACTACAAAACTGCATACTCAAAAAAATTCTAGAAAATTTTATTTAAAGGTTGAAAATTTTGGTGAAAATTTGAACATTTTCGTGAAAATTTGTCGAATTTTCCTAAATTTTGTAAAAACTTTGATTCATTAATTTATATGCCATTTGATGCAGAATGAATAATATTTCTATTAAAAATTTACGAAAAAAATTTACTACGAATAACATTGCAAATATTATATACATATTATGTAGTATATATTTACTCGAATGCCTGTATGTGCAAACGCGATACCAGATTCATTCAGAAATGTTTATAGTACATATATACATAAATAAGACATATATATATATATATATGCCCGCGCATATATGTACGACACTCTGTGTATGTACCATATCTATATTTTTTACCTGTAGTCCACATCAACTGTCTGCATATGCATCTACAGTGTGCCACAATGTAGAAAACAGCGCACATTCCAACTCTATATAGAAATTCCTTGTATTCTCTCTACCAAGCATTATTTTTTTTTTACTTTTACTGTATTAAACGTTCTACAAAATTTTGTTGCCTCATGGTCCGCTGTGCAATCACGAAAAATCGGAATACATACACACACGTATACATACATAGATGGACATAAAAAAAAATTGCTGGCTTGCTGAAGTATTCATATTCGCGTAGATACAATGAAAAAAGCGGAGCGAAAACAAAGCAGAAGCACAGCTACGCGAAACAATTTATAAGCAATGGAAATTTCCACTCGGTTAATGTGCATTTAGTGCGCTGAGTGTATTAACCCCTTTGTTGCCACGGCAACCCAGCAAGAAAAACAAAAAAAAAA